ACTCGTCACTGCAGATCCACAATGCTTGAAGCCAGTTAACAGTCACTTATTGATTTTCAAGTCGTGTAAAGAGAAGTGAGTTACGTAATTCATTTTTTCTAGGATTTCGGTAGAAAACACATTTTAATTGATCTCTTTTCTCTAGTGATCCGTACATTAAAGATTCGCTGTATAGCATTAACTTTATCATTCTAATGTGGATCACAAAAAGTTATACCTTGTTTAGTTGCTCTTTGAAGTATTATAAGTTGAAGCGCCTAGATACGATAACTAAAATGTCGTCAGAGTAACTAATCCAAGTGACACAAGAGGGAATGACGCTGAAGCGGTATTTCTCAAAATGCTCGAGGCAGATGTTGCTTTAAGCAGCACACAAAGTTGCTAAGTTAAATTTTTGCCACTTATTCACGGGTTCATAAGAGTAAAGGTTGAGCTGACACATACTTTAATTAAACTGATGATGTCAGTAGTGGGTACCTTGAAGCTTGAGTTAGCAGAATCGTGGCTATGTAAGAGGTCAAAGCCTAAGTATATAGTTACAAGTTTGAAAAGGGATATGGTGTCTCGATTTTCCAGTTCCATTTTCTTGGTGTAGATGTTTTCCAGTCAAGAGATGAGCTCATGGACATGGCGAAGGTGTGACTGCCTGATGGTTCTCAGTAATCGTGAAAGCTTTTGGCAAGTACTGGCGCCAAGTAGTGTGGATCACTGAACATACTTTAGGTACAACGTCGTGGTGGTGGTGATAGTGAATAACAAGAGAACAGAGGAGCACTGCTGGAGAGTTACGGCTCATGGCATAGCACAAAAACACTGCTGGACGAAATCCTCACAGGATAGCATTAGCCAAATTTAGCCATCATATTTTAATTCTTCAACATGTCGGTATTATACATCATTATTATTTGAATAATTAATATAAGCTGGGTTTAGATCAGATTAAGGAGGTGTTGTTTAACTATATATTTAATCCTTTGCAAAATAGAACTTTCTTCCCTTCAGGAAGTGAGTTCCAAACTTTTAGGGCCCTTTATTTACATGGAGCTCCTAGATAGGTTGGGTCGTGCACTAGGTATATCAAAGAGATGCTTATTTCTTGTATTGTGCCAATGTGTTCTGTTGAATTTCTTCTACCAGGATACAATTCGTGGATGCTACATGCGGATCCTGATCTCCACAACACTGACATACTAAGCTTCTTACTGGTGATGCACCAGTTGACGGTTTCTTTGCTGGAGCAGGTAAGCATCCGCATCATCTCTTTCCTCTCCTTGTAGAAATGTTCCATAATTATTTTTTGACGAACACTGAGCTGGTGTATCCACGATGGATGAAACACATCTTTGTTGAACAAGAATAATTAGTAGTACCGATCTTCAGGTGAACATTGTGAGGGAAGATGCCCATCAAAATATGAAAATAATGAACAGTTCTTCATCAACAATACAAACAAACAGTATCAAAATCCTGCTCGGTGAGAAGCTGCAAGACTGCTATGCAGAAAGTGATGCCAGTTTGTTAACTGTCGACTTGTCGGTGAAGAATAAAACATAAGTGTAACACCTGGATATCTTTATTATCGAGACGTTTGCCTGCGTGCAGACATTTTCAAGGTATAAAACTGGAGCCAGAGGAGAGGTTCAGCAGATGAAGACAGTATCATAGGAGAGTTGGACATACTAGTGGTACTAGGTTATACTCATAAGTGAGGCCAGCAGCTGGCACAGGTACTGTGCCAACTGCACTGTAATGTCTACCAGAACAGCATCTGCACCAGGGGCGATAGCACCATCTGGCACAGTCCTTTTATTTTCCCATCTGTTATAGAATGCTGTCAGGTTTTTCTATAAAGGCCGTTTTTATGTTTCCATCTTCTAATACCAAAGTGATTTTTTTCTACAGTTGGTTCTCATTTGGGCATACCAAAAACACTTCCCTGGTTAAATATCTCTTGTAGATGATTCCTGAATATCTGCATAAGATGTGTGGGTCCATTTCCCACGAAAGTTGCAAGTAATCCATGCAGAAGCCAGTTTTGTTGCTGCGGTTGCAAGCTACACAGATTTTTCATGATATACTTTTGTTGTTATACTGTATATTCTACTAATAACCTCCTTAAAGTATAAGTCTGTCTATTTTTATGTGTATCTTTTTGTATTTGCACGTATATGTGTACGAAACAATCTTACCGCTGCTAACAGTAACTGTTGTTTGGGTGTTTGACAATGGCGTCTACAAACCCTGTCAGCTTATGAATCCGGTCAGTGGATCACTTATTTTTGATGAAGCCGTCGGTGATTTTGGACTAGCTCGTGAAAGTACTACTATAAATTTTTAATTAACAGAATAATATGTGTTCAGTTTGATACAAAAAGTATAACTTGCATGTTGTAGAAGCCGATGCCTCTGGCAGCTCCTACTTAAAGACCAACGGCCGTCACCTCTAGCACCTTTTTTTAACAGCCTGAGGTTTGTGCATTGTAGATCACTGTATTTACCTTTACTAAATTTTTTCCACCTCCATCACATCAAATATTTTCACTATTGTTGCTATGGTAGGGCGGCGGGTGACGAAAAACCATCAACCTACTACCACAGGACGGGAGTACCTCCCTGGGTGGGTTTTCTGTCTACCATCCTAACTACCACAGGACGGTATACCTCCCTGGGTGGTTGCGTCTACCATCCTACTACCACAGGACGGTAGTACCTCCCTGGGTGGTTCTGTCTACCATCCTACTACCACAGGACGTGTACCTCCCTGGGTGGTTGCTGTCTACCATCCTACTACCACAGGACGGTAGTACCTCCCTGAGTGGTTGCTGTCTACCAACCTACTACCACAGGACGGTAGTACCTCCCTGAGTGGTTGCTGTCTACCAACCTACTACCACAGGACGGTAGTACCTCCCGAGTGGTTGCTGTACTACCAACCTACTACCACAGGACGGTAGTACCTCCCTGAGTGGTTGCTGTCTACCAACCCACTACCACAGGACGGTAGTATCTCCCTGGGTGGTTGCTGTCTACCATCCTACTACCACAGGACGGTAGTACCTCCCTGGGTGGTTGCAGTCTACCAACCTACTACCAGGACGGTAGTACCTCCCTGATGGGTTTCGGTCCCACCAACCTACAAACCCCAGGACGGTAGTACCTTCCTGGTGGTTGCTGTCTACCAACCTACTACCAAAAGGACGGTATACCTCCCTGGGTGGTTGCTGTCACCAACCTACTACCACAAAGGGGGGTAGTACCTCCCTGGTGGTTGCTGTCTACCAACCTACTACCACAGGGCGGGAGTACCTTCCTGGGTGGTTCTTTCTACCAACCTACTTCCACAGGACGGCATGCCTCCCTGGGTGGTTGCTGTCTACCATCCTACTACCCACAGGACGGTAGTACCTTTCCCCGGGTGGTTGCTGTCTACCAAACCCACTACCACAGGACGGTAGTACCTCCCTGGGTGGTTGCTGTCTACCAACCTACTACCACAGGACGGGAGTACCTCCCTGGGTGGTTGCCCGTCTACCAACCTACTACCACAGGACGGTAGTACCTTCCTGGGTGGTTGCTTTCTACCAACCTACTTCCACAGGACGGCAGTGCCTCCCTGGGTGGTTGCTGTCTACCATCCTACTACCACAGGACGGTAGTACCTCCCTGGGTGGTTGCTGTCTACCAGCCTACTACCACAGGACGGTAGTACCTTCCTGGTGGTTGCTTTCCACTAACCTACTGCCAAAAGACGGTAGTGCCTCCCTGGGTGGGTGCTGTCTACCATCCTACTACCACAGGACGGTAGTACCTCCCTGGATGGTTGCTGTCTACCATCCTACTACCACAGGACGGTAGTACCTTCCTGTTTTCTACCAACCTACTACCACAGGACGGTAGTACCTCCCTGGGTGGTTGCTGTCTACCATCCTACTACCACAGGACGGTAGTACCTCCCTGGGTGGTTGCTGTCTACCATCCTACTCCCACAGGACGGTAGTACCTCCCTGGGTGGTTGCTGTCTACCATCCTACTCCTAGGTTTTCTTAAATTATAATATAGAATTGTAAAACTTGGACCTACAAAGGTTAAAATTATATAGACGCTTCCAACTAGTTAGTTATGTTGCCGTCTTAAAGCCGTCAATAAAAAAGGTATTACATGGAAATTAATAGCACACAATTATTAATATAATTGACAAATTCCCAACAAACTGGTATAAAATTATTAATAATATTATTTACGATGTTTAAAAAATTCAGTTAATTTCACTTTTTCTATTTTTAATGTTTATTTGATTTGCTGTATTCCAGAATGTACATTTCAGACTTTTCCAAGACTACAGATTTTTTTCACACACAATGCAGATTTCCCTCACATACATTATATATTTCTCGCATTCATTGTACATTCTCTCGCAATTTGATTTTTTTCAGATCCGCAGAAGACGCGAGTGTTGATGCTTACCCAAGCCCCTCAGACACACGTCATTTTAAA